GAGTAGAGTAGAGTAGAGTAGAGTAGAGTAGAGTAGAGTAGAGTAGAGTAAATGAAATTTTGCAAATAGAATGACTGTGAGAAAAGAAAGCGAAGGCAATACCATTAGTAAAAGACACCTTGGATACAATCCCAAAACAACTGGAGCACCACTTGAACACCATCAGCATTGAGAAAATTACCATCCATTGCAAAGAACAGTTTACATCCTGCAACAATACCTTTAACATGTGCATATCTGCCTATCCCAGACCTTTGGGAAGGACTTGATAGGGGGACAAAAATGCCAAATCCAGCCTGAATATCTGGCTGACTGTATAACAAAACATATGGAGAGTCTCAGTCATCCAAATCATGGTTGTCCCAAAGGCATTTTTTTCAAAGGCAACCGGACTTTGTTTTTCCTTGAAGATATTTCACTTGTTGTGGTCCACCGTCAGCCTGCAGAGCTGGCAGCAAAGTTGGACAGTGAGGAGGTTGGGGAGGAACATGGGCCGGTCCTGGAATCTGGGAAAGGCTCAGATGAGGGCTCTGTGTTGGAGGCAGAGAGGGAGGCCAGGGCCATCTGGGAGTTATGTGCTGCCTACGGAGCCTCCAGAGTCGGACATCAGCAAGGCAGAAGAACAAGGGGACCCTGTTCCCAGTGAGTGCATGTGCAGAACTGCCAGAAGGCAAGAACAGTTAAGACAAAAGGGGTGACTCAGGAGTAAAGCTTGGAGATGATTGGCTCCTCCCATAAGATATAAAGAAAGAGCAAAGGCACATGAGCCTTTACAGGAAGCAACTTTGTTCATTCTGGTCGGTTTAAACTCTGAAGCTCCATTTTGACTCTGTGCTCCATGTGGCCTTGCAAAGCTAATTGGCAATTAGGTGTTCAGTAGCGTTTCAAGGGAGATAAAGGTGGGTGCTTATCAGACTTATCCCGAAAGACTTTGGCAGACTTCTGTCAGACTCTTTATAAACTATTTGTGACTCATTAAGGGCTGTGAATGAACATAATTCACAGCCGTTGAAATAAAAAGAGGGGTTTGGGGACTAAGTGTGTGCTTTTTACTGTCTCAGGAAGCCTAGATCAGAACCTTGCTTCTCATCCAAGAAACGTCTTCGGTTTCGAAGTTCAAAATCAAAGAAGCTTCTTGGATGAGAAGCGAAACTTCTGCAAGGAAAAATAAAGTCCAGTTGCCTTTTGAAAAAAAAAACATCTTTGGGAAAATCATAATAATAAATCTCACCAGACTTTAAGCAAGACTACAAAAACTTGTATAGTTTACTAATTGTGCAAGATTTCAGAGGCTGGTTTGTTGATCAATATAGAATTATTTCTAGCCTATCCTCCGAAGACAGTGATCTACTACTTTTTATCTGCCCAAACACTGCAGTGTAAAAAGGTGCACAAACGAGCAATATAATCTCAAGATAGCCTCTTATAAATCTCCCAAACTCAGTGGACCTTGTCCAGGTAGTTTTGTAGGAATGAAATAGAGAGATACTCTTTACAGAACAGTGACTATGACTTGATATATAATATATCACGGTCTGAAGAAATACAGAGTAACATTCTTCCATAAAGATCTGTATTGAGTCAATAGCCAGTTGGCGTACCACATTAAAACCTCAGATGTGGCTCTATCATAGAATAAAAGTGGATTTAAGTATGTTGATCGAAAATTATATTTTAATTTTAAAGTAAAGGTTCCCCTCGCACATGCGTGCTAGTCGTTCCCGATTCTAGGGATGGTGCTCAACTCCGTTTCTAAGCTGAAGAGCCAATGCTGTCCGAAGACGTCTCCATGGTCATGTGGCTAGCATGACTCAACACTGAAGGCGCATGTAATTCTGTTACCTTCCCACCAAAGGTGGTTCCTACTTTTCTACTCGCATTTTTATATGCTTTTGAACTGCTAGGTTGACAGAAGCTGGGGCAAGTAACGGGAGCTCACTCTGTTAAGCGGCGCTAGGGATTCAAACTGCTGAACTGCCAACTTTCTGATCGACAAGCTCAGCGTCAGTCACTGAGTCACCATGTCCCTTTTGGACAGCCTAGCTATTAACTTGGTAGCGTCCTCCAGCTTCTCAACTATTAATAGTCTAGGCCAGTGTTTCTCAAACTTGGCACCTTTAAGATATGTGGACTTCAACTCTTTAGAAAATATTTCATTTCGTAAACCATGTTTAAGCTAACAATGCATAAGCATGCCATGTGCAGACTGTCCTTCACCAAGAGGGAGGATTTCCCTCTCCTTTATTAGGCTTTATTAAAACCTTTCCAAAAGTTATCTTTTTTGTGTGTGGGGAGCCCTTCTAAATTCTTTTGTTTTAATTCCCAAAATGAAAACTATTGGGAAAATGCAGGGGAATTTTTCCCCTCTATCCTTATCAGATGTGGGTTGTTGCCGGATCGGGTGAACAGGTAGTAGCGGTGGATCGGGCGAACAGATACTAGTGATGGATCGGGCGAAAAGGTAGTAGCGGTGGCAGGAGGCTCTGCGCACCAGCCCAGGAGCTTCTGCATGCACC